CAAAGTGCTTACCATAATATTTCACCACAAAAAAAATATTTACAATGTAAATATTTAAACTGTAAACTGTTAATAGCACTGTAAAAAATGTTATGAAAATAAAGAAATATGAAATAATCCTTATCTTTAAAATACAAATCTATTATCATTCAATTCCCTAATCAGGAGTGAGGTTTAAAGGGCACCTATTTAACCCTTTTTCAAGATTTAAGATAAGTCTTTTGTGTCTCCAGAATGTGTCTGTAAAGTTTCAGCTCGAAACACCCATCAGATTATTTATTATAGTCTTCAGAATATTGGAATGTTCTGCTTTAAACACAATGTAGCCGTTTTGAATGCCTGTGCCTTTAATTATAGTTCTCCAGACATGAAGAAAGCAGATCTCACATCATGTTTGTGAGAAATACAAGAGTAAGAACTTTTGCAACAATTATTATTTGATGAATTTGTTGTGGAGTTGCAACGATGAGTCACACAATCCCATAACAAAATTCACAGATACATACACACACACACACACAGCGTGCGTTTAACTTTACACTGTTTTTTTCAGAGCAAATGTGACAAAATACACATTAATATCCACCGCTGTATGAATATCCGTTGTGTTAATGTACAAAATAAACCTGATTTAACATCCAAAAATCGTGATTGAAGCGTCTTCTTTTATAATGTAATATGCAGCAGTGGTGATAACCTAAAGCTGAAATCACTATAATTTATTACAAACATGCACTGTTTTAAAACATTTTAAACTTGTGAAACTCATTCTTGATCACATTTGATGATGATTGATGATCACAGAGAGCTGAACAAATCTTTTCATCCCGGTTGCTGTGCGCACGTCCTGTCTTGTTGATATGATTATATGCGTTACTACAGAGACATGTTAATACAGGGCTGTCGATAAATTCAGTGGGCGGAGATACCACACTCATACATTACATTGCAGGCAGCCTCAAAAAAAGGAGGGATCTGGATCCTATTTTAACATAACAAAATTTAAAAACAAAGACTTAATGTGTTTATATTACCCCAATGTGACTGTAGACACACTATATCTACACACAGTTATGTCCAAACAGCTTATAAAAGATGGTTTTCATCATAGGTGCCCTTAAAACTTGCTTTAAATTAAATCTGTAGCCTATAGACAAATAAAAAATTGGCCAGCTCATTTTATCAGTTAGAATTTTATTTAAAAACCTGTCTTTAATTGTCAATAAATTAGTCTTAAAGCCTTCTTTGGCTTAAAGCCTTTAGTTAAAAATGGGACAAATGAGTTCATTCATAGGGGTCAAATCCTGGACTTTGTCAGTTTGGGTTGGGGTGGTGGGTCTTTCTTTTCTTATACAACAATAAATATTTAACAATAAACATTCAAAAAGCATGTAAAAAAACTAACAAAAATGGTTATATGAAAATTATGAGCAGACACATCTTTGGTAAATATAATGTTCCAGTTATTTTTAGCTGCAAACTAGTTATTTCTTACCACAATGTTTTACTGCACCTAATTATAAACCCATTTAAAGAGTTTTACAGGACCTTACAGTATGTTAAACTTTAATATCTTCTCGGTATTTCCCTATAACAACTTTCTCCCCCAAGTCTTTACTGTATGGATGACTGACTTATGAACGGTTGACTTCAAAATAAGGTGGATACATGTTTTAAAGTAAATATGAAGTGTTTTCTCCTCCCACAAACACTGCATTTTTCACACAGTGGGAGAAAATGGCATAGATTATATGCCATTATATAATCTTTATCAGTCTAATTACATGTAATGTCCTAAATAGGATCTCAGAGCACTATTTGTGTATGCTAATGTATAATTATCAGTCTCCAGAAATGCGCATGTTAATTTCTGGAGGCAAACAGGAAGGTTTAAAACTGCTCAAAGGTCATTTTGAAGGTTATAATCACCATGGCTCTGTTGAAAGTTGTGAGAATGAAAGAAAGTTGTGCATTTATGTATCAGGTTACAATGTTTATCAGCATTTATTGCATTTGAATGAACATGTAATACAAGTATATGTTCACATTGAGCAGATGGATAGAGAAAAGAAATGGCATACAGTTTCATAGAAATAAAGTCAAAGCAACTAGTACATTTATGAAAATGATGTTCAGTGATATTATTTTTCTATCAGGCTTTCAGAATGAACCTATTTCATCAATACTTATTTAGATTTAATTTCTAGCGAAGAAAAATTATGAATAAATATTAGTAATAATAATTAATTACATTTTATTGATTTAGTCTTAGAGAGAAGAAAGTCCAAAAATGTTGGAAGGAATAATACATTAGCGAATATTATTTAGGTACGAAGAGCTGCGTGTCTATTAACTAACGTTTTTAAATGCTGCAAATGCTAAAAATAGGGTAAATCAAACAAAAGGAGCTCAGGGGTAGCTTGAAGAATGTGTATGTGCTGTTCGAATAAGGGATTCATCAGAACAAACAGCAAAAGTCAGTCCAAGGCACTTGAAAAGTGTGGAAAAATGAAGTCTAATGAAAGCAAGAGTTTGCCGAAACGCACACAGTATGTGCAGTTTTATGGAATAGCCATGTCAAGAAAGGCTTTTTAATATTTTTCCACATTCTTCGAGTGCCTTGGACTGACTTTTGCTGCTATAAATATGTATTTGCTCTTGGGTTGCCCGATTAACCGAAAAAAGATTGTGATCTCGACTCAACCCTACACACGATCTTAAGTCTGTTGTATGATTCAGCCATTCATATTTTCAAGTTCGGGAGAAGCATAAAGGCGGAAGCACAATCTTCACATTGTTTTATATACATTGCTCAGCAACATGGACATTTCCAAATAGTGTTATAAATGTCACATACTGCATTTATAAGGTATAGTTCACCCCAAAATGTAATTTCTGTCTATATAATGACGGAGTGGCGGCCGCGAAATTGCACATAAGCTGACGCACTGTTTGTTTACTACCGTGAGGACACGCGTGCACGCAAATGATGTCTACTTTAGTAAACAAAACCTGCACAGGCTGTGATAACAGGTAATAAAGTTTTAAACAACAACGTTCAGTTTGTTTTACTGAGCAATCGTTTGGGAGCCGCATGGGAAGTATTATTTGTGTGTGTGTTTTTATTTCTCAGTGACGGCAGTCATGACATGAGCGCACTCACCAATAAAAGTGAAACCGGCATGCACATCATTTAAATGATCATATCTTATTTTAGAGTTATGATTACGACAAGCAATTGAATCTAAATGTTTAACAGTGTCACTATAACTACTCCAGCCTATATAATGTTAAATATAATGCAAGAGGGAATCTGATAATGAAAAAGGTCTCATTTTACCAAAATGGTCTAATAATGTTGTCAATGACAAATGACAAGTATAAGTCTCGACCATAATCATTTAATTTTAGAATTATGAATTGTATTCTGATGTCATCACTTTACTGTGCATTAACGACCAGGACAAGTTTAAAGTCTGTTTAAGCCCACCATTCAAAGTCTATACATAATTGAGCATTTTAACCAACAGTAGACCTACACATAGGCCTCATATTATCATTTTTGTTTTACCATATGTTTGAGAAATAACAGTAATAATAGCCTACTCGTATTAACCCTTTTTTTCTTTTTTATTTGATCTTGATTTTAAGCAAATAAACTTGTGATTCTCATTTTGCCCAGAATCATGCAGCTAATTTGCTCATACAAAAGTAATGTTACCTAACAGACCTTTTAGTAGAGTGCTACTGAAAACAACTGCATATAAATAACATTTCATCAATTTCAAATATTAAAATTAATATTCAAAAATATTAATTATTTTTTATCATAAAACAATATTTATTTATAATAGAAATATACAAATGTTAAAATGTTACAAACAAAATTTTAAGTATAATATATTAATATAAAATTTTAGAATGCATTAGAAAATAATTGAATATTATAACATATTAGTTAAAATTTATTTCATCAATGTAAAATATTAAAATAAATATAAAAATATTTTTATAAAACAAAATATTTATAATAAAGCATTAAAATAAAAATAATAATTTAACAATATTATTTTTAATACTAAAATATATATATATACAAATATATAAAAATTAATTTAAAAAAATCATTGAATATCATAAAATGATATTACAAAACATTAATACATGCCCGTATTCTTTTTTAAATAGCAATATTTGCTATTATAGCTTTTGTGATCAGGAGGGTTTAGCATGCCCATGAGTCAAACTTAAAGCGACAGTTCACCAAAAATGGAAAATTCTGTCATAATTTAATCATCCTCCTCCATTTGTTACTAATCTTTTTGAGTTTCTTCCTTCTGGTGAACACAAAAGAAGATATTTTGAAGAATGTTTGGGGAAAAAGCAGCCATTGATTTCAATATGATCTGGGTCTATGGCTGTCGGTTTACACCATTCATTCACTCATTTTCTTTTCGGCTTAGTTCCTTTATTCATCAGGGTGCGCCACAAAGGAATGAACCGCCAACTTATCCAGCATATGTTTTACGCAGCGGATGCCCTTCCCACTGCAACCCATCACTGGAAAACACCCATACACTCTCATTCACACACTTATACTATGGCCAATTTAGCTTACCCAATTCACCTGTACCGCATATCTTTGGATTTGTGGGGAAAACCAAAGCACCCAGAGAAAACTCACGCAAAACAAGGGGATAACATAAAAACTCCACACAGAAATGCCAACTGACCACGCAAAGGCTCGAACCAGCGACCTTCTTGCTGTGAAGCGAAATTGCTACCCACTGCGCCATCGTGCTGCCCTTGGTTCAACAGAAGAAAGATATACATTAAGAACCACTAGTTTAATTTTGGGTGAACTATCCCTTTAAGTAAAGCAATGCCGCTCCTGAATACAAAAAAAAGGACAAACAAATGAAATGATGAAGGAGCATGCGCTTTCATCATTTCCCAAACCACAAAACGGCAACAAAAGAAAAACAACTGATTTCAGGTAATAATGGTATGAGATTAAACACATTTATTAATAATACAAAAAAGAAGACCAGAACAAATGTGACATAAATACATGAGAAAATGAACAGACATATCATGAGTGATGAAATACTCTGATGAAAGCTTTATGTTAGAGTCTGGACAGTTCAAGTAATCAGATTGAGCCGCTTCCTCAAATCCACCTTTAAAGCTGTCAGTGAAGCATGAGAAACAACCAATGACTGAAGCAGAAGAATAATACAAAACACAGACAAATCACAAAAAATAAGCAACAAAACCCAGAAAAATGTCAGCAAATATACACCAGCTCGTGAAAGCCATATGCAAAAAATAGAATGAATACATGTGCACACAAATAATAATTAAAAAAACACTTCAAAACATCCTCAGCATCTAATCGAAGCTTAATTTGATATAAACCAACATTCTGAACTGGTTAAGAAAGTGCATATATGTCTCTAGTGATGATATATATGAGGATACACAGACAGAAATGAACCTAAGGGCAAGGTTTGTAACATTGCTGATGCTTTTTCAGCTTGTGGATGGGTGTGACAGACAGCAGGTTTGAGCTGGCTGCTGAGCGGGACTACTGGAGCTCTGTGATGCAGGCAAACTCTCTCAGGACACACAGTCAATTCAGCAGCAATGCACCGTGACTGATCGAAAAATGAATAACTAATTCAGAACACCAGAACAAACGGACGAGTCCTTTTCACCTTACTTTTGGACTCGGTGAATACAAGCTATGCCCTAAGGGAATAATGCAGGCAACCTTCATGCTGTACTGTACATCACGTTTGAACCTTCATGCAGCACTTTTCAATGGAAAAACAGATGATGGTAAACTGCCAATGTCTAACAACAGCCATAAAGGTGGTCCCTGTGACTTTAAATCCTTGCAGGAAAACCATGTGAGCTTCACAGTTTGGAAACATTTTCATGTAAATTAAAAACAAAAGTGGTTAAATGATTATTTTTTCATTTAAAACGTTCCATGTGTGATTTTAACGACACTTATTGTGATGCTGATGTGGTTTTTCTAGAAGGGAAGACTTGGATTGTAGTAAAAATCTAGCTTCCTTAAATTCTTTAGCTGAATCTAATTCATTTTTCTAGTCATCTTGACTTAACATTAGTCAAACTGATATGAAAAATAAAACTAAAATAGTTAAATACTAAAACTAAATATAACAAAAAAAATGTTGATTAACTGATTAAAATGAGTTAAAGGAATATAAAAACATTTGTTGTTATGACTTTACGTCATATTTTTTTTTAAAGTGTATTATTGATTTGTGATTTTGTGATTTGTTTACTCTTTTAAAAAAGTTGTGTCTTTTCAACTCAAATTTGGTTTAAATATGTGCAAACCCAGAAGTAGCAGGTTTGAAAAAATGTAAGGAATAAATATAAGCGAACATAACTGACTGTAATGGTGTGCATTTTTACTAATAGGTAAAATTTCAGGTTTTTGTCCTGAAATCACTAGTGTGTGTGGGCCTAGCTTTAGCACTGCCATGAATTTTTAATACAATTGATTGAGTTGACACTGATAATTTGTCAACATACAAAAATATTAAATTGACTTGTGGTTTTGTATTATTTTATATTTTTTTAAATTTTACTTTTTATATTTTGAATAAATAACAACATGCAAATGAACAATGCATCATTCAAATTTGCAGTAAAATTAAGTAAATTAAAATGAAGTAAAATAAGTGATTTTTGGTATAAAATAAAATAAATCAAATCAAATAAGTAAATAAAGTTTTTTTTTCAGAAAGGTTAAAATAAAACTTAAAATACTGTGCTAAAGTTTGATGGAAACTTCTTAAGAATATTATATCTAATTATATCATCTTTGATGGCTTTAAACATCATGGGGGAAAGAGCTGCATGAATTTTCTTCAAACAAATACATTTGTAAGTCATGGCTACTAAGACATTCTTCAAAATGTCTTCTTTCTTGGGTGAACTATCCCACATTGTCATTCAGAAGATTTAAAACATCAAACAAGTCAGATAGAGTATTTTTGATTAATAACCAAGTATTTTTACCATTTTTTAATATAAACATCCACATTTTTCAAACAAAGGTCACCCTTATAGCTTAACTCAACATTTCAATGCTTCCTACTACTGCAGTACATTTCAGAGAAAATTAATCTGATCGTAGTTTAAGGCCTCACTTAAGACACGTTTATTAACGCATGACCACAACATTCAACCAATCACAGTGCAAAACACAAGCACCAGCCGTCTCTGTTCAGCAGCCAATCCTCAACTCCACTTAAAACACTTACCGAGTGAAAAAAGCCCCAATAAATCAAACCGCAACTAAGCCAAGAGAAGAATAAACCTCTTTTAGGCATAAGCCAAGGCATAAGAACTATATCCAGAGTCATTCATATTCACCAATAGAGAGAGAGAGATATAATACATTGACCCTATATAGTGAAGAATCATACAAACGTGACCCGAATGAGAACCAGTGACAATAAATAACTGTTAATTTACATAAATATATGCTTGTGAATGAGATGCGTCTGGTCCGTATTAGTTGCCATCTCCAACAGTCTCCATCCTATAGACTACAGTAGTGGAGCTGTCCTCATTGCACTCAGTGGGCGACACTTTAGTCCACATAGTGTCTTTGAGAGCCAGCTCTTTCTGAAGGCTCTCGTAATCCATCGGTCCGAAGGTGTGCTGCTGTGTTGAGCAACACAGAGAACAGATTAGTGTGTTTTTGAAGGGGGCTCGAGGGAAAGTTTTTGAGACTTTCGAACTGTTCAATACTGTATGGTGACTCGTGAGGAAATTTCAGAGTCGGTAAAAACAAACACACTGTTGCAGAGAGCCTTCATATTCACACACAAATGGAAAAAAACTTACATATAAAAGAAAAAAAAGACACAACAACAACACAAAAGGAATTGCACATGCCTTGTTTGAGTTGCAGCAATCATTGATTATTAACAGACGACCAGGCCCACACTGAATCTGTGCGATGTCATATAAAGCTGGTCAAAATTATTAGCCCTCTTGTAAAATTATCATTCTTTTAAAACTAAACAAAAACTGTCAGGTTAAGTGCTCTTTAAAGTATTTCTCAATATGATAGATGATTTCTTTTTAGTTATTTATTGCAAAAACGATGGGGGGGGGCATATCAGTGACTGATCATTCATAGTAGGGTCACTTTAACATTCAAGCACAAGAAAAATGTAAAAACCTGATGTAATTGATGAAATCAGACATTCTTTTCCAGGGTAATAAGGCTCCTTCTTTTTGTTTCTTGTTGTACACATTGAAGCGGGAGTTTAACTTGCTATTAAAATACTATCGTTTAATAATACGCATAGTAATAATTATGTCCCAATTAATTGTTGCTTAACCAGAAGTTTAACAGATAGTGTAAAACAGCAGAGTTTGGGTAACTTTGTTGACTTTACTGGCAATTGTTCTTCTCAATATCTTTCTAGTTTAACTTTTAACTTTTAATTACTCATTTCTAATAATTCATTTCAAAAGTGCTTTGTTCTGTAGCCAATCAATAGCAGTTTTAAAATATATTTTTGTTTAATTTCAGCCAAACTAAAAGCAATAAGGCTTTATAAATTTAAATAATACTATTACAAGAATATAATGGTAAATACTGTGGTAAATGTCTTTGCTATGGTAAACAGCACTTCAAGGAAAAATGTAAAAAAAATAATACAAATTTCACAGAAGGCAATGCAATATATTTGATTAATATTATTTTTAATAAGTATACCGACAGTCAGTATTTTCCCCAATTTGTGTCATTGATACTGCTTTGTTATATCTTTTTTGTATTTCTATTACTTTTCTCAAGAGAAATAATAACTAATAAAATAAAAACTATTATTACATTTAGTTTTTGTTTTGCTTTTAATTATTATTATTTTTGTTATTATTAAATGTACAATCATAATATTATTGCTATTCAGAATAAAATTTTAAAATATTAGTAATAATAAGAAATAATAATAATAATATGAAAAAAATATATTTTATAAATAATAAATTAACTATTAAAATAAAAACTGTTATTATATTTACAAGCAATACAAAAAATACATTAAACAATAGCTAATATATATTAGAATACAACCATTTTATAATGTGTTGTTATTGTTGTTTTTAATTATTATTTTTAAATAAATAATAATATAAATAATAACTATACAAATATTTTATAATACAATATTTCTGCTATTCAGAATTATTATATTATATTATGGAATAATACTACTACCAATAATAATAACATATGCTGGATAAGTTGGCGGTTCATTTTTCTGTGGCCACCCCAGATTATTAAAAGGACTATTAAAATAATTTTTTTTATATTTCTATTATTATATTTATAAACAAAATATTTAAACAATAGCTAATATATATTAGTATACAAATATTTTATAAAGTAGTATCTTATTGTTGTTTTTAATCATTATTATTAAATACATAATAATACAAATAATAACTATTATACAAAGAGGTTATAATATAATATTGTTTCTCAGATTTATTATATTATATTATGAAACATTAATAATAATAATAATAATAATAATAATGATAATATGATTATGAATAATTTTTTTTATTAAAATATGAACTATTAAAATATCATATAATATAAATAAATAAATAAATATATATATATATATATATATATATATATATATATATATATATATATATATATATATATATATATATATATATATATATATATATAAACAATATTATATTAAACAATAGCTGATATAAATCAATATACACATTTTTATAATGTGTTATTTTGGTGTTCTGTTCCAATATTTGAGCTAATCAGTCTCTAGCTAATTCGTGTGTATTCTTAGCTATGAGGTAGAATATCTTAAAAGTTTCTTTAAAGTCGACAGATTCCGTCTGGGCCTGTTGATCACACTCAAGCAAGCAAAGCAAACAATCAGTCCGTTTGAATAAATCATGTCAAATAAAGACGTGCCACTGGACATGCAATACTGGAAGATCATGCAGAACTCAATGAATGCTTGTTTTCGTGGAGACGACAGAAAACCGACTACCCTTCATTAACGTTCCCTAACTAGGCGTGTGGTGCGCAAACGCTCCAGCAGGTGGCGCGCTGTTTGTTTGTTTAGTGGAAATAAGCTTTCTCTGCATTATTGTCAGCTCGACGGTCTTGCATAATGTTATTAGAGTACGTGCAGTCATTCGTATAAGACGTGGTGTAACGCATTGATGGGGCACGCGTGGAGGGCAAGGCTGGCGGGGAAATGGAAGAGGGCACTCACCCGCTGGTCTCCGCCTTCCCGCCGAGGGTCCAGCTTCTTGGCGAAGTGCCGCAGGTTGTCGTAGTTGTGGAAGTTAAACAAGGACACCAGATCCTGCAGGAGAAACAGACGAGAAAGTTGGAGAGGTTAAAGACTCACAGTAAAGACACAAGACAGAAGGTGGTCTGAGGGTGACAGGAGATAAAGAAATAAAGATAAAGATATTTGTGCCAAATGCTTTCATTAGCCTTTCAGGTAAAACTTAATACAGCATTTCGAGAAAAAAAAACTACTACGCCAAAATAACACACGTGTATACTAATTTATATTACATGTTGTTTGATATATTATTGTTTATAAATTTCATAATAATATTTTTTATTTTAATAGTTAATATTTTAGTACTATAAATATGTCATTCAACCATTCATTTTCTTTTTGGCTTAGTCCCTTTTTTATTCTGGGGTCGCCACAGAGGAATGAACCGCCAACTTATCCAGCATAAGTTTTACGCAGCGGATACCCTTCTGGCTGCAACCCATCACTGGGTAACACCCATACACTCTCATTCACATACATACACTATAGACAATTTAGCTTACCCAATTCACCCGTACCACATGTCTTTGGACTGTGGGGGAAACCGGAGCACCCGGAGGAAACCCACGCGAACATGGGAAGAACATGCAAACTCCACACAGATATGCCAGCTTACCCAGCAGTGTATACAAATTTATATTAGCGTATTTATTATGTTATTGTTTCTGAATATTATAATAGTTTTTTATTTTAATAGTTAATATTGTATAAATAAAATATATTTCTTCATATTATTCATATTTCAGATAATATAATAATTCTGAATAGCAATAATATTATTTTATAAAATATTTTTACAATTGTTTATAGTAGTTGCTTATAATATACATTTAAAATAATAATATTAATAATAATTTAAAAAACAACAACAAAATAACATAATCTAAAATATTTGTATAGTAATATATATTTGCTATTGTTAAATATATTATTGTTTATATTGTTTAACATAATATGTTAACATAATATCTGTGCAGATATTATTTTATAAAATATTTATTTTATAAAATATATTTTATAAAATATATTTATTTTATAAAAGATATTTATTTTATAAAATATTTTTACAATTGTTTATAGTAGTTGCTTATAATATACATTTAAAATAATAATATTAATAATAATTTAAAAAACAACAACAAAATAACATATTCTAAAATATTTGTATAGTAATATATATTTGCTATTGTTAAATATATTATTGTTTATATTGTTTAACATAATATGTTAACATAATATCTGTGCAGATATTATTTTATAAAATATTTATTTTATAAAATATATTTTATAAAATATATTTATTTTATAAAAGATATTTATTTTATAAAATATTTTTACAATTGTTTATAGTAGTTGCTTATAATATACATTTAAAATAATAATATTAATAATAATTTAAAAAACAACAACAAAATAACATATTCTAAAATATTTGTATAGTAATATATATTTGCTATAGTTAAATATATTATTGTTTATATTGTTTAACATAATATATTTTAAATTAAATATGTAATATTTTATTAATAACTTTTTCACATTAGTATTAATATTTAATAATAATACCAATAATTCTGAATAATAGATTATAGTAGTTATTATTTATAATATTATACATTTAATATAATAATAATACTTTATTTGCATGTTTGCATAACAATAATAACAAATTTTGATAAAGTAATAATAGTTTTTTTTATTTGCATAACTATTGCATGATAATAATAACAAGAAGAAGAAGAAGAACCACAACAACAACAACCATTATTATTACTTTTATTATTAAGTTCAATAAAGTTTACTATATTGCAGCTTGATTTTATTTTATTTTATTTTAACAACAACAACAACAACAACAACAACAACAACAACCACCACCACAACAACAACAACAACAACAACAACAACAACAACAACAACACTGTCATAACCATATCAGTCATAATGTTCTGAAGAAACCCTGAAACCCTTTTAAGACCCTGGAGTGTTTGTTTAACACAAGCAGGTAAACCTTGAAGCTAACCTTGAAACTGCACCATAAACACTGGAAGAGCTCATTTATTCACAGCACTCTCTGATTTTGTTAGGAGCTTATAAAGAGTTGGCAGGAATGTCTGAATGTCTAATATTACACCCATTTCCGATCTTGTGACCCGGTGACTTGCCAGTTGTTACTGTCCTCTGACCACAGCAAGACTGAACCCAGAAACCCTCAATTATCGCTGCAGCTCTACATTCACCGCAGAATTGTGTCAAAGTGTTCATACTGTGATCTCAAATTGTCAAGCTAAAATTAACTTCATCAATTATCTCCCGTTCCTGAGGTGTTCATGAGTTCGTTTTTTACCCACTACAGGCTCACAGACAGGGACTGTGTCTGCACGGATTTCTTCAGGACACACACCGTGTAATTTTACACTCCTTGACCTTTAATAAGGGTCGGAAAGGCTGTGCAGATATCCAGACCTTAACAACTGCTAGTTCTCAGAAAGACCTAAAATAACACCAGCAGATTCTGATCATTTCACAACTACATGGTGAGAAGCACAGGATCATGGCATTAAAAATATGTCAACTATAGATGACAACGTATATATTTTAAATGGGTTCTGTTGTATTTATGTCTGGCTAGGCAATACAGCAAAAAAAAAAAAAGAAAGAAAAGAAAAATCTCTATACTTTCCAGATTTCTGTATTAATTTTTTTTTCAAAATTACAATAACACATTTTAATGTTACAGTAAAATACTGCAAACCTTTAACTATTTATTTATGATTTTATATTCTGTTTTTAAATCAATAGTAAAACATTTGTATGTATTATTATAACAATAGTGATAAACAAACAAATAAAAGTGACAAAATCTACACTACCATTAAAAATTGCGAGCAAAAATTCATAATATTTTAAAAAGAAACGTCTTATTCACCAACTCTGCTGAAATTGGATTCAAAATACAGTAATTCTGGAATAATAATATGAATATATGTGATCCTGGATCATTAAACCAGTCTTATGTTGCAGGGGTATTTATTTGGCAATAGGCAAAAATATATTGAATTGGTCAAGATTTTTCGAATATCATCAAATCAAGAATTACGCAATTCTGAGTGTGCCTCACAAAGGTAAGTGGGCTTAACAAACCACCTGTAGAAAACACACTCTTCCATCTCTCTATCACGTTGACCAACACTTGCACCAGAAAATAAATAAATAGATAAATAAAAACAGTTACCTTTAGTATTAGTTTATTATAATGGATTTATTGTTATACCTTGTTTATTATTAATGTATGACTTTATTAGAATATATTACTTTATTTTAACTTAATTACTATCTACTGTTTTATATAATTTAATAGTAATATGGGTTTACCCCAGACACGTTCTTACAATCACTCAACATCTCGTATAAGAACATTGTGCATTTTTGAAGTGTGCTTCACACAAGTGAGATGGTTTGACAAACCACCTGTGGAAACTGTCTTGTCATTAAATCGCTGAATACCTCGCTGAGAAAAGTGTCTGTTAAATGACTAAATATAAATGTAAGTTCCCAAATTATGAAATCAAAACATTTTGATTAGTAATATGCATTGCTAAGAACTTAATTTAGACAAATTTAAATGTTATTTTCTCAGTATTTCGATTTTTTTGAGCCCTCGGAATCCAGATTTTCAAATAGTTGTGTCTCAGACAAATATTCTATAATATTCTTAATAATAATAGATTTTTCCTATAGTTGTATATGCTATGGAAATAAAAACTCAACCAACAATATCCATGAATATTGAAAGCAAATATATTTTACTCTTGCATGCCTTATATATACAGTTTCAAAAGCAAAGCATATTTGTCATCTGTTTACAAAGACATGTTTAAGGTTCTCTTTTATCTTGGCTTACCATCAACCATTTGATCAAGTTGCCAGAAAATGGGTGGAACTTAAACTATTTAGGTATTTATATGTGTTTGTGCAAGCAAACAAGAGCATTCCCATACCGTGCAGAATTGGATGCCCCGCACACTGTTGCCAAGTTTGTCCAGCGGAGGAGACCAGCACATGATGCCCATCACATTGGGTACAACCAGCAGAATACCTCCAGACACACCTGACTTGGCCGGAAGACCAACCTTAAAAACAAAACCAAGCACAACAGTGAATATATTATGAATAACAGTTGCATACAGATTGTTGGAGCCATTTCTTGTTTCGATGCTTTGATTATTATTAAGTTTATGTTTAATAATTATTGTATGTTATTCATGTTTGAGGATTTGCTTTAATGTTTTGATTTTGTGAATGAAGACTTTTATACTATCAATGCAAATTGGGATTTAAGGCAGCTACAATAGTAGGTGGGGTCAGTAAGGGAAGAGGAAACCATTTTCAGACCGCGAGTTGGTGTTTGGTGACTGGTGCTACTGATTAGCAGTGAAGCCATTTCATAGATTTGATAAATTAGGATGTGATGAAAATAAGCTACGAAAAGGTTTGACAACAGACTCACGCGTCATTGGTTGCCCTTACTGAGATAGCGGCTTAGAGCAAAATGAAACTAAACAAATAAATGACATCCACACTGTAAAAAAATAAATAAAATTGATTCAACTCAAAATTGTAAGGCAACTTAAGGTTTTTTGAGTTGACTCAACTTTCAACGCAAGTACTGCTATTGACTCGATTTAAGTTGAGTAAACTGAAATTGAGTAAACTGAAATTGGTTAAAAATGTAAGCTCAGTCAATTTTTTAATGGTGCATAGTTGAAAAAAATCTGTTTTTCTGAATGATTCTCGCTGTTGATTTTTAAAAAAAAAAAGACTTTTAAAAAATGCTGATTGGTTCCATACAATCGATTTGTGTTGAGAAAACATTAAGGGATGGGGTATATGCCCACAGACCTTTAATTTCAGCCAGCTAGCCTCTGCGCTGCCAGTGAAATGTGTGTTTGCATTATAAAATTGCCACATTTAAGGTCTGATTTCTTTACAAATCTGTGATCTTTACTGCCAGATCGATATACGATATAAAGTGGGTCTCAGACTGGAAATTAAAATATGATGGTTTATTTCACCTCAGTATTTTCAATGGTGCTTCTGCACTATCTTGCTGGTACTGACGGCGCTAGCGGTTACACGCTCTTCATCTCCTTTTATGCTTGAACAACTAAATGAATGCTCAAGTCTATTTGAATGAATGTATTGTAATTACATTACAACATCCATGCTGTAATAGGAACCTAATGAAATTTAAATATCATATTAAGCTTTCACCGGAAGTCCATTATTGGCTGAAAAACACTAGCTGTGCATATACCACATAAAGTTAACTTATTAGTTTTTACTAATTTAAGTGAATTGAACATAAAACAATTAAGAATTTCAGCTCATTTGAAACAAGCAGTTTTAACAAACAGCAAACTTCTTTTTTTTGAGTGCTGGCTGGAGTGTAATTAGCTTGTCATATTCTGTAATATAACCTGATTGCACATAAAGTAGGTGTATGCAAACTACAGACATATTGACAAAAATGCTAATTAACTAAAAAAGCAAAATACAAAGTTCTGTCATGAAACTATGTGTGCGCATGCTGATAGGATATACCTAACCTGCTCATGTCATCAACTACATGGTGCAGTGATTGGTTGCTATATATATATATATATATATATATATATATATATATATATATATATATATATATATATATATATATACACACACACACACATATATACAAATATATATATATAGGTGTATGCAATATGTCTGTTAATAGACTGGCAGTAGCAAGTTTCCGTACTTGTTCTGCCATATTGATCAAATCAGCAGCAGCAGCGTAGCAGGTTTATTCCACAAAGACCAAACACATCAACATTGCCATGCACAAATTTATTACCATACTAAATCTCTCCTGAGGGTTGTCATGACAGAACTACATATTATTATAAACTACAGCAAACTACAGTTATTATTAAAAATGCAAACTACAGTTATACTGTACTCTATGTAATTAAGGAATGAGGTACAGGATTTTGTTCTGAAATTTTTTATGCAAATATGGTACATCTGTTCAGTAAATTCAACTTTACATTTGAAAACAAGTGTACTTTTATACGACAAAATACAGGCTTCCAGACTTCAAGATAAAGGTGACATTTTGGGACTTCATTTTTATTAGCTTCTTTATTTTTTGGTCTGATACATCACCAAATGCTTCAAATGATGAGGCCTACTTTGGATAGATTTGAAATTGTAGTTTGCCATGTTAAAATAGCATAACTGTGCATTTTACACAATAACTTAATGAGGGAATGTGACTCAAAATTTAAAGGTAAGAACAATAATGAAGATGTGAACTGTAACTGCTGTGTTTAGAGTTTGGATGTTTATCTGTGTGTGAATATGCATGCACAAAAGCTTACATGGAAGGCGAATTGTCCTGAGAAGTCATACATGCCACAGGAGTGCATGAGGCTGAGGGTGTCTCGCACAGCTTCAGGACTCAGCACACGCTCGCCTGTGATTGGACAGAAGCCACCATTGGCCAACGTGGCAGCCATGACACTGGCACTCTCACACGTAACCTCGATGGAGCACAGCTAAACATGTGGAGGCAAACACAAATAAAAACTTTTGATTATGAAATGATTATGAAAATAATATTAGACCAAGTTGTCATTTTTTTATGTCAACATGCTTCATTTGGAAACTCTGAATATAGATTGTACCTCGAATGACCCTGCAAATTAAGTTATGAAAGCAGATAATGTCCATGTATAGTTTATTGTTTTATATATTATTAAAATATGATATAGTTAAGTAGCATCAACCAATGTTGCAGGTTTTCCATATATCAGCATCCAAGTGTGATTCCGCAAATATGATATTGAATGTATCCAAGTGATTTTACTCAGTATACAGTTCAACAAACTTATAGTTAATATTAGTTCAAACAAAGGAACAAAACATTAATACACCTCAAAGCAACACTATAGTGATTTGTTCCAAATGAATCTGTTTTTAAATAAGAAAGTGTTTTGTACAGATGGTCAATTGCCCCATTTTTAAATGAATGCACTTTTTTTGATAAATCCTTTAAATGAACAATTCTGTGAATCACTCATTAGGAAAAACTTGTCTTGGCTTTAGTCTCACAATTGTCAATAATAACAGGCCTAAGCCTGGACAAAAATAATTTAATAGAACAAAACATATCAGAAATATTTACATTTTTGTCAATAATATTGAACACTATTATTGTTTGTGTGCATGTGTGTAGTAATGGTAGCTATTATATAGCTAATGGTAGCTATCAACTTGGCTCTCCACACACACACACACACACACGCACACACACACACACACACACACACACACACAAACACACAAACACACAAACACACACACCACGTGATTTTCAGAGGCACATGACAGAAGGCAAGAGACAGTCACCAGTCTGCAGTCCTGCCATGCTTGTGGCAAGACAAATTACTAAACCATTCAGGACAGCAAATCAACTTTTGTTATAATGATTTAATTCTAAGCCTGGGTATCGACAGTGATTCACCAACTTTGCTTGGTCATGAATGACTCAGAAATCATAAACCTTTGATTCTTGTTTTAAGGGGCAGTTTTTCTCAAAATTAATAGTTATTAAAAGTAATTAAGAGACATTAATAAATAGTAAAATAGCGATAGTGGATAATATTTATTAGACATCAAGTGAGATATTAATATTGGTATACATTATTTCTTTCAAGTAATTGCTATTCTTTTGAAACATCTACTCCACAAAAATCTTGAAAAACATACAATTTCTCATAAAAATCAGCAGTTCCTCTAAGCAGCACAATGGTTTGCATATTAACAATTTATATTAAATTAATATTAAGTACAAGCATGTAAGAAAGATCATGTTTCACTTAATGCTGAAGTAATGGCATTTGGCAATTTAGCTTTGCAAAAAAATATATAATATTTTTTCCCTTTACTAATCTGTGGTCGCCACAGTGGAATGAACCATCAACTTATTCAGCATATGTTTTATGCAGCGGATGCCCTTCCAGCTGCCACCCATCACTGGGAAACATCCATACACACTCATTCACATACATACACTATGGTCAATTTTAGCCTACCCAATTCACTTGTATGGCATGTCTTTGGACTGTGGGGTAAACTGAGGAATCCCACGCGAACACAAGGAGAACATGCAAACTCCACACAGAAACGCCAACTGACCCAGCCGAGGCTCGAACCAGCGACCTTCTTGCTGTAAGGCGATCGTGCTACCCATTGGTCTACCACGTCGTTCCCCATTCAAGATAATGTCTGATAACTAAAAATTCTTTGCAGAATGCATTGCAAGAAGCTCAGTAATTGTATGTTGCAAGTAACTGAGAAATGCGCACAAAACTCTGTACAAACCTGAAAGTACAAGTCCAGAACAGCCGTCATGTCTGTACCATCTGGAAAACACTGTTTATAAAAAAAGAAAACTAGTAAGTAAATGGAAAGGTTACAGCGAACAAAAGGAGATAATGTGAACGATATAAAAGATTTTAGGGTTAAATAAATCAGGGCAGAAGAAGACACTTCACCATGAGATACAAACCTTCTTTTCTTTCAGGTAGTAGCCAATAGCGAAATTCCTGTCTCCTGACTCACGCTCTGACTGGAATCTGCACGAGGAAACAGGTGAAAATGTAGTGAAACACGACAATGCAAATTACATAAGAGGACAGCTTATTTTGATTCTGCACTGTACCAATCATTTCTAAAATTAAAAACACAGAACTAACAGATCAACTTACGTGGCATTGCTGAAACCGACATATTCATTTCCTGCCATCTTCTTCAAAAAGTTCATGACCTGCAGAAGAGAAATCAGAACATTTAAGTCCAAAGCAACAGTTTTTCTATGAAAAAGAGAATATAACACAATCCTTAAACATCTGACTTACATAATCAAACTTCTCAGCATTGCCTGCTAATTGCTGAAAGACAAAGGAAAGGTGTAAATGACATGCAAACATGTTCTGTCCTCACTGAGAGTTTATAATACTCCTATTCTAATAATCACATCAAAATACACTCACCGGCCACTTTATTAGGTGTTCAACTGATAAACAAATATATATAATCAGCCAATCACCATATTTAGGTATGTAGATGTGCAACAGAATGGGAAATAAAAGCTTACAAAGGACTTTTAATGTGGCATGATTATTGGTACTCAACAGTCTGGTATAAGTATTCCAGAAACTGCTGTGGATTTTAATTCATATGTATCTCTAGGGTTTGCAGAGAATGCTTAAAAAAGAGAAATGATATCTAATAAGCAGTAGTTCTGTGGACAAAAACACCCTGTTAATCATAGATATCCGATAATATCCAGATTGGGTGAAGCTTGAATAAATCACATCAAAACCTTGAAGCAGATGAGATACAGCAGCAGAAAAACAAACCTGTGCCACTCCTGCCAGTGATCTACCAAAAAATAACTACTTTGGATATTGGATAACATAATATTTGATTTAGTCTTTTAATTATTGTGCAACATTTGGACAGTACGGACAGTATTTGGTGCAAAGATGAATCCACTCTGTCTTGTATCAATGGTTCAGGCTGCTGACGGTAGTGTAATGTTATGTTGTCACACATTGTGACCCTTAGTACCAATTGAGCATCACTTATGGTAAATGCCACAGCCTACTCTAGCAAAGCCTAAAGTATACACAATATCACTTGTATAGTTTTGAAGGGGGAAAAGTGTAACGGTCAATATGGCCACTCCAACAGAGGAAACCCAGCTTTCTAGTAAAGGAGCCAATCATTGATAGACTGACAATTCTCCTAGGACGGGACTTGGTTCAGATGTGTCTGTCAATTTTACTTAAATTTACTCAATTATACTGACAGTAATTTCAATTTTATGACAGTTTCATTTATTATGAATCCTTTGGGGTCTAGAAATGTGCTAAAACATAAAGCCTGAAATCTTTACTTTTAAACAAACCAACTACACTTGAAAACGAAAGTTTTTTGGTTTTGTAATCTGTATGAAATGAACACGAGTTACAGTCTGTCCTGTCTGATCTCATGAATAAAGCTCCAACATTCAGACGCTAATCACATGACAGAAACCAATTGAACGGCCACAAAGCGGTCACTGTTAATTTGAGAGAAGATTTGCCATCAAGACCAAGTTTGATATTATGTAACACGCAAGTTATAAATTCTTATGGTAAATACATAGTTAGACTGATAGAATGAGTTCTGATTTTCTGTTTTTGGAGGTCTCTAAAAAGGCCATGAAGTAGGTTGGTGTCGTGAACTCAATCTCCTCTAGTATGCTTGCAAATTAGCTTGGGCAACCTGTAAAAATGGGTGTTTTTTGTGTGATTTAAACATTTAAAAATTTTATTGAATAGACATTTGTTCTTAAATTTCATTGGTGATTCCAAATTAAAAATGTATTCGTAATTGAATAAAGAATCAATGTTTTTCTATTAAAACAGAATCCCAGAGAGGCATTTCAAAGATGGCTACTGAGTGAAATGTCTTGCCTTAAATGGACCTTGACTTTAGTTAAACATGTCCATCCCTTCATGCCCACAGTGAACCAATCTTATGATGGCTACAGTACTTCCAGCAGAATAATATACCATGGCACAAAGCTCAGATCATCTCAGCCTGATTTCTTCAACGTGACCATGTATTCACTAAACTCAAATGATCTCCACAGTTAGCAGATCTCAATACAACAGACCATTTTCCACAAAGCAATTTTGTGTTTAAAAGAGATCTTAACATAGACAGCTTGGCTAAAACAAAGATAAATTTGGGCTGTCAATGAAAATCTAATAGACGTTTAGAAATAGCCCAAACTAGACTAGTCATCAAATACAAAGATTAGACAAACTTCTGTGTCACTCGTTTCCGTCTATTTTTGGATTAGACGTCTATTAGATTTTACTGACTAACCAAATTTTCCCTTGTTTTAGCAAATAGATCTACATTTCGACATCTACTAGACATCTATTAGCCTTATGTGATGGAACCAGAGATTTGCATCATAGCCACCAAAACTACAGCAACTGTGTGTTGCTCTCGAGTAATTGAAGACTAAGTATGTTTCCTGCATATGGTTAAATCTGTGACCAAAAAAATTAAGATGGTTCTGGAATGCAAAAGGGTGTTCAACCTATCAAGATGTACCTAATAAAGTGGCTGGTGAGTGTAAATTTTTTGAAGTAGCATCATGGGGAAAACATAAACCAGAACAGTAACTATCTCATACAGATTAGCAGAACAGAAATGGACAAAGTCATTTCGTAAATATTACCAGTAGAGTGCTAAAATCATCAGTTAGTAATCTGCAGTTAGAAATCATAAACATTTCATATGTGTACTACAGTTATGCTCTACGAAGGAAATGATGATGAACCGCTACAGAGCAAAGACTGGAGTTAAACGTGTACATGAAGACCTGTAAGCCAAACAGAGAAGTGGGTCAAAAAACAAGAGTGATGTGAATCAGCAGGGTGGGTAACGTCTTAAGATGAAGTGTAAGGAGGATCTGTGCATTGTATGGTGATGTGTTTCTGATTGAGTGCGGATAAGTGAATATTAACCTGCTAATTCTTGCCAGTCTGAGTGTGGGTTAAGGCATCCATTAAACTAACCTAAAGAGCAAAAAACCATTGAGCTTGACTACATTATTGTCAGAAATTAACTGTAAATTCTCATTAATGACTGTAAACTGCTGAACATCAGGGATGTGAAAAACTAAACTGTTGTATTATTATTAATTACATTTCCAAATAGATTTATCTAAAAAAGGATGCATTAATTGATAAATTGATCAAAACCAATCAAAAGACTGAAAGCAACAGTTACAAAATAGGTATTTTTATTTCAAATATGGTAGAAATGGTATTAGATCTTTATAGAACAAAACAATTATTAACATTTTATTAAAACCTAAAACTAATAAATCCATTAAATTCAGAGAAACTGATTTTATTTTATTTTTTACATATACACAACCTGACAAAATTTGTAAGAGCAACAAATAATAATCTGACTTCTAGTTGACCATTTGGAAAAGTGGCAGAAGGTAGATTTTTCTCATGAATCATCTGTTGAGCTGCATCCCAATCACCCAAGATTCTCACAGAAATGAGTCAAGTTTGGTGAAGGAAAATTCATGGTTTGGGGTTACATTTAGTATGGAGGTGTACAAGAGATCTGCAGAGTGAATGGCAACATCAACAGCCTGAGGTATCAAGACCAGGATTCAAACACATTTATACTAAAGCCCCATGACTTTTGCAGGACTTTCAAGTACATTTCATGACCTAATGTTTCATGTAATGTCTACATACACGTGGTAAATAATGCACATTCAAATTTATTACAGCATGTCATAAAACACGCAACAATCTATTAACTTTTAATGTATTTTTATATCAATGTAAAATTGATTTAGATAACTAATACTAATAATATGAGAGTATGTGTTTGGCTAAGGACAGGAACTCAGTGAAGACAACTAACCAAATTTATGTAAATAGATATTTGTTAAACAAGTTTTCATGACTTTTCCAAAACTTTGTGAGTTTTTCTGCTTTTCCAAAATGTTTCCAGGCCTGGAAAATTCCATGTCAAAATTCTATGACTTTTCCAGGTTTGCCATGACCGTATGAACACTGCAAGACATTTGTGTCGCTCATTACATTACAAACCACTGGAGAGGGCCAATTCTTCAGCAGGATAGCGCTCCTTCTCAAACTTCAGCCCCCACATCAAAGCTCTTGAAAGCAAAGAAGGTCAAGGTGCTCCAGGATTGGCCAGCCCAGTCACCAGAATGAACATTATTGAGCATGCCTGAGGTAAGTTGAAGGAGGAGGCATTGAAGATGAATCCAAAGTATCTTGAATTGAATTCCGGGAGTCCTGCAAGAACGTTTTCTTTGCCATTCCAGATGACTTTATTAATTTATTTGAGACATTGCAGAGATGTGTGGATGCAGTCCACCAAGCTCATGGGAGTCATACACAATATTCATTCTTTTTCCACTGCACCATGCCTTTATATTCTATACTGTACATTATTTCTGTTAAGTGACAAGACTTTTGTCTAATTGAAGTCAGACCTTACTGTTTTAATTAAATAATTTAAAATCAAGACATGACCATATTTTATTTTGATAAAATAAGCATAATCTAGAGGCTGTTGCCTTTCATATAAGCCACTTCTGATACCAAATGATCAGCTAGAGGTCAAATTATTCTTTGTTGTTCCTAAACTTAAATAGCCGACAAGACTTTTGTCAGGTAGTGTACATTTAAGCCAAAATAATATTTAAAAATAAAATTCACAGTACCCTTATTTTAATGCAAGCACAATTTCTATGTACTTCTTTCACCCCTGCTGAACATTACTTCTTATGAGAGGGTACAAAGTGTATGGTGTATGCTGAATGCATTGCATACCGAGTTTACTTTAGAAACCCACAAAGGCCATGCATCAGTATTATTTAAAAAAATAAAACTCATGAAAAGAGGCAGAATAAAACATGAACACATGGCCTCAATGGGCTTCTGTAGTTTGCAGCACATTTGCTCCTGCCCTGATGTGTTACTTTATGCAGTCGCCGCTTGATTAAGGAACACAATGGCACTACTGATATTTTAGTATCCAGGCTTGTTCATGGGGAGGGAGGAAAAATGGAAAGGAAAAATTACCAACGTCATTGACCTGCAGCAGTGGTCAAAAAACCCCACAGATCCTACGTCTGCAAAATATGCAACAACATAAAAAAGCACACAGAGGCTTCAACAGCATATCACACGCTTTTTAGTACACGCTCATGGCGGAGCTCAAGGACTCGGAAAGAAAAAGGGAGGAAATGATGTCATGCGTTACTGAGGTGCAAAGGAAACCGACAGGCACGACTTACATTCAGCACTGACCTACCGGAGCACATCAG